ATTCCTGCACTCACACCCCTTCTGCTCCAATTCTGGCCCTTGCTATCGACCACAAAAGTACAGGTCCCACAGCACCTGAAGGTATGGATTGAATGTGACAGAAACCAGTGCAGCAAGATGTTTCTGACTGGTACTACTGGATACTGGCCATGCAGGTTGGGAAGGGTGAAACATTGCGCTCGCTGGCGTTACGGAGGGCCGGCGCTTCCTGGGTATGTACGTCCCCGACGGAGGGGTGCCTGGAAGCGCTGTGCAGGCTGGGGGTGCCGGGGGGCATTGGTGAACGCAGGAGAGCGCCGCATGACGGGGCAGCGATGCTTCGAAGTCCGAAGGTGGTGGAGTGTGGGAAGCGCTGCGGTGAGTCAGAGGGAGCTCAGCGACGCGCTGGGGAGGGATGCTGGGGTCGGGGTGCTGCGGCAGCGCCTGGCAGGGGTGCGCTGGGCAAAGGGAATTGGGGATTTGTTCCTTAGTGTAAGGAAGCGTGGTGACCTTTATGTCCAAGGGTGATGATCGTACATATGCATTAGTATGAAAATCACCTAAAGTATCTATGATCCTATGAAGGCTGATTTCTGCCCATTAAAGAAAAACTTTTCTTGCCATTTGCATCACACTTTGTGGTTACACCCACGAGGGCCCTTTCTCTACGCCATCATTGCTGCCAGCCAAAGGCAGTGGGCACTCCGTACAGTGCAATTAGGTTATCAGTTAAACGGGGTCTGCAGAGTACTTCAATTCAATTTTGCCACAAGATCCTGCCATCGTCCCGACTTACGGGGGATTTCAGACATTAACAAGAAAAGCCGATTACATACAAGGCAGGCTGACGGAGCAGCCGTTCTCCTCACAGCTCTCATCTGCTGCCTCATCGCAGTTCCTGCTGTTCGTGAGCTTCCCTGGGGAATTGATCTCAGTAAATGGACACAAGCCTGTTAACTGTCATTTTTGTGGACCCTTCAGCTGCCTAATAATGAATAATTTTTTTCCTTTATTTTTTCTTTCTCTCTCTTTAAAACATGGTTAGAGCTTCACTTGAAGGGCTGAGGCACAGAGCAGTCCATTATGTATCCAACAGGACCAGCTCTGATCCACTCTTCCAGCCAACAGTTTCTCCCCTTCCCAGGCAGTGATCCTAACACAGATTCTGCAAATTAAACAGAAACTTGGCTCCTCCCAAATCAGTGGTTGGTTTCCACAGGCCAAGATGCCACTTTGTATCTGGGGCAATGCTCTAGTATGTGTGTGCCCTGCAGGCAAGGGACTTCCCTGGGGGAGATAAAGCCTATGCAGTAACCCATCAGAACCCCAACCTAATCTATATGGAGAGGACTACAGCTATTATGGTATAACAACTTAAATAGAGTAAATATAATATTAAATAAATAAAATAAATTATAGTATAACGACAAAAATAACTATTACGGTTATACTATGCTATAACGGTAGAGTTTTGCTATGGTATAGTATAACAGTATAGCTTTACTATAGTAAAACTATACTATATACTATACTACAATAGTTATTTCCAGTTATAACCAGAAAGTTATTACACTGTAATAGCTATAGTTCTCTCCTTATAAATTAGATTAGAGTTCGGCTGGGTTATTACAGTTTCCAGTAACTCTCTGGTTATAACTGGAGGTTAGTCTCTGGCGAGCACGCTGCGTGCACAAGCAGGCAAGGTGCATCAGTGCACCTTTACGTGCGCTCAGAGGACACAGTGCACTGCCAGGCACCTGCAGGCCATCTACAACCTGCCTGAAGCATTTCTGAGGAAATCTGTAGATCGCCTACAGTAAGGAGCCACGTGGACGAGAAGTGGATGGATCTGGGAACGTACTTAACTCCAGTCTCTCCTAAAAATGCTCTTTGATGTAGGCTTTCTCTCCAAGGTGCCTCATTTGGCAGTGCCTTCTCCATGTCTAATAAATGGATTCTATTTAAGGTAGTCAACAAATATGTAGAAGATTCTATATTCAGTTAGACAAATGCATGCACTTACCAAAAACTGCGTTTTGTTGAGAATCCAAGTCCCAGGATCCTCCACAACAGGTCTTCTAGCTTACAAGGACGAAGACAGAAGCACATCTGCTCATCACAGGAAGGGCAGGGCTAAAGCCTGCTTATCTACAGGGTCTGAAAGTTCGAGATAACTATTCCCCCCCAAAAAAATGTCCTTGCTTAGAAGTTACATAATGAATATGATCCTAGCAATACTATGCAATGAATGCAAATAAAATCTAGTGCATGTAACAACTGATCTAGCAAAATAGAAAAAAAAAGATCATGAATTTCAATCGTGTTCCTACTGAGGCAGTAAAAGGTTGAAGCAGCGAAAGTTGATTCTCAAAGAAAATAACTGAAACCCAGGCTGATACACCATCCCCAGGAGACTCGATAATCATACTTCTTTTATAAAGGGATTTCAGAAATGTGGGTTATATAAGTTGAAGTATGGTAAAGGATAAGCAGGGTTGATGTATTGTTAGAGTCCTATGTCCAGAACACTTTCTAACAGAAGGACGTAGTGGAGGATATCTAGTTTGTCACACATGTGCAAACAAGATTAGGTATTTAACACATCTCTAGAAGGACTATTAGAATATTCAGTGTACAAAGCTCTCCTGGCTCTGAAGAAAAAAGCTGGTTTGGTGGATGATGCGGAGATTTTTCTTTGGGAGGCATCCCACAACGGACTGTTCTGAAAGATAACAAAATGCTAAACATATGCATAAAAAAAATGTTTCCCAGCCTACTGAAGAGATCAAGCTTGATGAATACTTCAGCTCTTATTATTTGTGTGAGTAGGATTTATTTGGTGGTCTTTCAAGAGAACTTTACAATAAGAACTGGGGTCTTGTTGCTGAAGTAAAACTTTAGGTTGCATTGGAAGAACCTGCTGCTGTGCAACGCTTTGAAACACTATTTTTTGAGAACAGTGTTGAATGAAAACTCTAAGGGCTCTACTAGGATAGTTATGTAGCCTAATTCCAGTCTAATTTAAGTGTCTTTAATCATTGATTAGATGAAGGAAACAATTTCACAGAATCACAGAGGAGTTGAGGCTGGAAGAGGCCTCTGCAGAACATGTAGTCCAAATCCCTGCCCAAGCAGAGGCAGGTAGAACAGGTTTCCCAGGACTGTGTTAAGTCAGGTTTTGAGTATCTCCAAGGCTGGAGACTCCACCTCTTCATTAAATTTAATGTCTTCTAGGGATTTTTATTTCCCTCACATTGTGCCTTCTAAGGATTTCAGCTGACCCTCCAGTTACAGCGAGTTAATAGTTATTACTCAACGAAAATGCTGCTTAATACAGGAATGGTTATATTTTGGCTTTTCATGAAAAGACAACACAACTTCAAAGACAGTACATATGATCTAAAATGAGTACCCTAGTCTACAGGAATGCAAAATAGCTTTTGGATCCATAAAGAACTACTCAGTTATGTAGTATCATTAGTATTATTGTCCCTTTTTGGTAGAATTTTTTAAGCAACCAGTATTTTGCAGAGAAGTGGCCATGAGTTTGCATGACTTTGCTTTTAAGCTAGGAGTAAGACTTGTCTCATGCATCTAATCTCTTTCAAATGTTTCTTTGAGTATGCAAGTAGACATTGCTGTAAACAGATCATGGTTTGGTTAACAACTACATCACAAGTCTGAAAAGGTAAAAGTTAGCTCAGAAGGATAAACAAACATGAGGACTTCCTACAGCATAAGGACTCTTACCAAACCCCATGGAGACTTGACACAGAGCCAAGGCACTTGGGAGTTAGAAGCCAAAGAGCACTTTTTGTCTATAATACAGATAATTTAAAAAGGATCCTAATTTTCCATGATTTGTGTGTGCAATAAATATACACTACCCCACAATGACTTAGACAAGAATCTAGGAGCTCACTTCATTACATAGCTTAGAATATAAGGCAACACTAAAACTTACACATTACAAAGGTCTTTAAAAAAAAATAAAGCAAGCTTTAACCTAATATTGGAGAATTTAATTTCAAAGTAATAGGCAAACAAATGTTGCTTGCTTTCCAAGGCACAACGGTATAAACATAAAAACTGCAGATGTGATACATTTAATACAAAAATATAAATACTGTTAATCTAAATGACAAAACAGCACATTTCCTCCCATGTATAAACCTTAATTTAAAAAAGGTTAGCTTTATTCTCAGTCATCAAATGTAATACAATGCCAAGAAAAACTATTCCTTTAGTGACACCTACTCAGAAAATGTCCCTATTATACCAGCATAATGAGTATGAGTACTCAAAACCTTATAAAATTTTTGCTGCATTATGCAAGCGAAGTTTGGCTTGTTGGTTTTTTTCCTGATAAAAATGATTCTCACAGACCTGACTCTGCAAGTCTGAATTATTATTATCCAGAGTTTTAAATGCCCCTTGAAAGACTGAGTCCCTGCTGAATTACATTAACAACTTTGATGGTAGACTACTACTTTGTCAAATAAATTATCTTTCTCAATTATAAATAGTGTCAAATTCCAGAAAAACATTCCTCCTTTAAACCTTGTATCTGAAAAACTTCCAATGCAAAGTGAATGAAAACATTGTTTTATTGCTAGCAAATACAAAGGGCTCTTCAAATGGCAAAGAACATAGAATTGTGCCAATTTGACTTTTAAATGAGCTAATAGTGAACTTACAAAGAAAAAACAATTACGGCCTTTCTTAAGCAAACGAAGATATGAAAGTAATCCAGATCATACAGATTTCATATACAGTTCACTAAAAAGAATTTCAGCATTGATTCATAAAGCTGATTCTTTGGCTGACTGAATGTGACGTAGTAGTTGATTACAGTAGACTGGTGTTCGATGCTTATGTATGATCCCTTCAATTTCTCTCACAAGCAGTTCTGGATATAAAATGCTTCCTTCTTTTAAAACTTCTGTAAAACAAAAATGTGTTTTATAAATCATTAGCTGCTCTGCGTTTCTCTATCCAAGATCCCTCAAAGTAGCTGAAGAATAACCTAGAAGTTTTTCTTTTAGAATTTGTGCAGTCACGACAACCCGATTCCTCCCTCATTTGCTGAGGTCTGTATTTTGACATTTACATGCCTGAACACAGAGAGATACACTAATAAGTTCCAAAGAATCCATCTAGCCAGCTAGGATATAGTCACATCCTGCAATGGCTAGTGTCTATGCTCCGTATCCTGTTTACCATCTATAAAGTCTCCGATACATCAGATGCACCGATATTCCCCTGCTGGTGAATGCTAGATAAAACATTACATTCTGCATACAGGTAAAAGGCCTGAGCTCATGCTCACTGAAATCCAAAGGAAAGCTTCCAGCCTGTTCAGATTAGCCTCTAGTTGTACACGTTACTTTCATGTAACACTTGAAAACATGATTTTAAAAGCACTATTCAAAATACATATGACTGAAAATCTTACCTAGGACTGCATTTTGTGTATTTTGATCTGGGTCATCAAGATGTATCAACAGTTCTTGGTACAGAAACTCAACATGACTTTCCATTGCAGATTTCACATCACTGTCCTTTAAGCATTTAAACCAATTAGCTAGGGTGTGAGCAGCTGCCAGTCGTACATCACATGAAGCATCATCCAGACGCTTTAAAACTTCTGAAAAGGATCATATACATAACCAAACAGCACCGTGAACAGCAAAGTTATCTTTTGCACTTCTAAAAACAAATGTATTTTGTCATCACCGAAATTATTGTTGCATTATTGACATATGTCTGTCTTTTGAACATTGCAAATACACGTAGTACATTGTTCCTAAAAGGACGCAGTGCATTGTTATTGGATTATGTTGCCAAAAACATTAGAATAAATGTATAAAATTATTTAGGTTAGTTGAACATTCTCTAGGACTCTTCCTAACAAGGTATTATGAATGTCTATTAATGTATTACAGAAATACAGAGTTTAAGTATTTTTATGCTCTATAGAGCACAGTATTTCTATCAGGTATTACTGTTTCAGTGAATTACTGCATCGCAAACTATTTGAATATGCAAAATGCAAAGATATACTTTGACAACTGTCTGATGTTGTATTTCTATAAAATAAAAATTGTTGTTAGATTTCTACTGTGCCATGTAAGAAAAAGTATCAGTTGTGAAGATGCTGAGTTTGGGAAAGTCCGCTTTATTCGTATATAGCTCTGAGAACATAAATCCTGTTACATAGCATAAACTGTACTTCTCCCAATTCATTGTTTAGCACTTAAACATCATCCTGAGAAGCATTAAAGACAATAGCTCTATTTGACATTACAGCAGTCTAGATTAGGGTTTTCTTCTTCCTCCTTTTTTTTTTTAGATAAAAAACCCAACCCACTACCTATTCAGATCTATTTATGGTACAATGAAATGGCTTGCTCTTGGCACTCTGAAGCACAGCAGGGAGAACAAATGTGACTACCATTATATAATGCATTACTGTCCTGCTTTCACTATAGTTAGAACATTATTTCATATAGGAAGCAATGCAGATGAAATACTGGCAAGCCTTGCAAAGACAGTACTATTGAGTGAAGTTCCATCTGGTGGTCTAATGCGTAATAACGTTGGGAAGACTTCTGCTCAGTTCTGCTCAACCGGGAGCGAGGGCACTTCAAGAGGACATTAGCTTGCCTGCAATACAGCACCTCAGTGAAATGAAATACTGCAGTTAAAAAGCTACTACAGAAAGGCCTTGCAAGAGTAAGTGCTGTTGGAGTCATACTCAACACCACCTACTCAGGTGTTTGACACCTTGATTTTCTAAAACGTGTATGTGTACTTTACAGACTTTAAGCAGTCTCACTTACCAGTTTAAGACCATCTCTTAGTTTCCACAGGATTAAGATATTAAATTGCCTCTCAGACACAAAAATGCTGCTAATGGTATGATTTTGTGCAGGCCTTTACTTTTTCCAGTTCCTTAATATCTATAAAATTACTCTGGGGGAGAACTACCCAAATAGTTAAAATACCAGATAAGAAAACACAGAAATAGCATTAGAATATGTGAATGGGAGTGAAATAAGAATATCTGAGAAAATGAGTCTACATAAAATCTGCCCCTATTTTCACCTCAAACTGTTTAAAGGCTTTTTGCTCTTTACATGGGATTAAAGCCAGATGACATAGTGACATAGAACAGTTTTTGTCATTCCCTAGCCTGTATTAATGCTTTTATTGCTGCCAGCTGCAGTGAATCCACAGGTGAGGTGGACAGCCTGCACAGCGAATCCTAAAGCCACACAGTGTATCTGTCTACTGCTCCAGCACGATGCTTTTCTTCCTTAAAAACTAAGCTATGCTAACCATGATACTTCAGATAAAAAAGCAACTGTAATTCTTCAAGGCAGATCTCGATTAAAACAGAATTAAACTTTTACACTTACCTGTGTAAGTGTTGGTAAATTCATCTTCATCAAACTGCCTCCCACAGACTTTGAAAAAAACACCGACAATACGACACGCCATCAGTCGAGTAATTTTAGAATCTTCATCCATAGCGGCAATGATTTGGGGCATTAGCCCATCTTTGACTTTTAAGATCTACAATTAACAGGAAAAGCATTAAAAAACCACAGCTTTTCAGTCACTCTAAAACAACATGCTGACGAGTTACATCAGTTACCATTAGGTCTGATCGATACTGGCTCGCTTAATTTAAAAAGTTAACTATAAAAGTTAACCTAAAAATCTTGAAGTTACACAGCTCTATTTCACCTCTAAGCAAACTTGGGAAATGAAAATCCACCAGTTGATAGTCCAGTTCATGAATGCTCAGTATATATGCAGATGAGTTTTATATAACTTTTAAAAATAAAAAGGCAAGTAAGTTTAAAGGCTTTTCAAAACTTTAATTTGGAGATGAGGATTATGTGGATGTACCAGTAGATGGTGCTCTTATTCTAAAAGGAAGCTTTTAAAGAAAGGGTTGTAATACAATGTTTTAATGAGTTTCATAATTTTACTTTAATATGTACATTTCATATACGTTAATGCAAAAAGGCGTTAAGGCACTGATTTGGAAAAAAAAAATTAACTAGCACAGTACTCTGAAATGAATGTTTTGGTGTATATGAAATCAACCAGTTACATGAATTTATGCACTTTGTTCAATTAAAGTCTGTTACAAAGACAAAAAACCTATAAACATTTAATAACATTTTAATTCCATTTATTTTTTAAAATGCCCTTATATTTAACATATTTGCAGTGCATCATTTCCAAATGCCATTTTTCTTAGCAAAGCAGCTTCAAAAACCCCCTCAGCTTCAATTAATCCTTAATCACTATGGCAGGTAACATTTCTCCTCCTTGTCAGCTCTCTACTTCAGTTTTTACAGATACCCTTCCAGTTCCTTCTCAAGCCCTCCTGCCCTTTCCAGGAATCTTTCAGGATTTTTTTCTAAATGGGCCTGTTGGCTCCAAGGCAACCAGACAACTTGTCTTTGCCACATTACACAAAAGCATGTCCTGGCTAGCTGCAGTGCTGCTGCACAGGCGCTGGCTAGGGGTCCAATAATGTCAACTACCCAAGTTGTTGCGCTAATAGTGGTTAGTATTTTCTGTTCCAGAACTGATGTTATGCTAGAACAAGGATCTACAAAATTTGACAATGGTGAGCTCTACAGCTCACCATATTGCTGCCCTCAGCTCTCTTATCAGGATATCATCGTCCCTCTGCTACTGATTTATTCAATTATTAATACTAAATTACAGTTAATGAATTTTATTATGAAAACTCTATATCCACCTGAAAATACTACTTACAATAAGGATTTATTATTTTTTTTTCCGCCCCTTGCATTTATTTTGTCTTCCTGCCTAAGATTTCAAAATACATTTGATGAGAAAGGGAGAATTTACCTCTTTTGGTGAAAGCATTTCACAGTGAATAAGAGCCCAAAGGCATGATACAGCTGTAGTGCGGATGGCAGCTGCTGTTCTTCCAGCATGCCATTGCAGATTAGGAGCCAGTATGTCTTTTATCACAGTCTCAAGGTAGCTAGGGAACAGCCTGAAGCCAAAAATAAGAAAGAAAAATACAGGTTCATAAGAAAGTGATTAAAAGACTGACAGGATGTAGAAGAGAGTTTTCTGTCACAGCAGCATAGGCAGAAAAAACAAAAAAAGACTGTAAAAAAAAAATCTTGTAAGCCAATGTGATTATAATGTGTGTGATAAGCTTTTCATAACTTAATTTTTCTAGATAATATTTAAACAAATACCTAACATTCATGGAAAGGGGAGGCTAGACTTTCTCCCACTTCAGACGATGCCCATGACTCACTGTGTTATCTTGGTAAACTACTTCTCTCTGTCTCATTTTCTCCGTCTGTGAAGTGGAGATAACACCCCATATGAACGCTGTGAGGATTCATTAGTATTTGTAAGGCCCTTTGAGACTGTCCAGTGAAAAGTATTTATAATGTGAAAAGTATGAATGCTATTGATGAGACCTGAACTACTGATACTGCAGGGAGTCTGCACAGAATACTTCAACTTTCCCTTGGCTCAGAAATGCGTCTCTCAAGGATGAGAGGTCTGTAGGATTTTCTGATGGTGCCAGTCCCAATACTAGTTTGTTTTCATTATAAACACACAAATCTGTGATATTTTTGCTGATGCTTCTTCCTCCTCCTCTATTGAATGGACTATTACAATGCTAAAAGTTGCTGTGAAAGTCATCAATTGCAATAGGCATTATTCCCTCACACCCATTTAATTCCAGCTCAAACAAGTTTTAATTAAGAGAAAAGATACAGATCTTACACACAAGTTAAAGCAGACTTTGCTGCATCAGAGACTTGTGCCTGGCTGTGACTAGGTAACTTAGGCTTAGGCTATTCACTGTGCCTCTCTGCCTTAAAAAGCTGCTGGCAGCATGCGAAACAGATGGACAAGTGACAGGCTAAATCTACCTTGACTTGTGTCCTGCTCTATTCAGACTTCCCAGAGACCTGGACTGTGGCCACCTGCGTGCAAAACAGCACACCACCCCCCTGGTGCTTGGCAGAAAGGGAAGAAGCTGTTGTTGACTTTTTGCTAAAAGTCCAACGCTTCCAGGATGAGTAAGTGGCTCCTACAGAGATGTGCCAAACCACCGAGGGAACAGAACATAATGGGTAGATGTTAACAACAAACAATTATCACTAAGTGCTTTTAAAAAACCCCCGAAACCCAAAAACCTAACAACAAAACAAAATCATCCAGCAATGATAATCCAGCAACAAAAATTCCATAGTAATACTGTATCAGTGTAATAAAAAATGTAAAGCGTATCTACATCTTTCCTGTAACTACCCTTTACCCACTGCAGTTAGACCTTGTCATCCAGGTGTAATCTGACTAACGTATGAGCAGCTAGCCTGCCAGGCCTCAATGATCTACTGCACACACATAAAACTGAAAATCTCTCCCTCCAACATGATGAAAATAGATACACCCCGGCTGCTGCTTAGCCCCTTGCCAAGGGAGCACTCTGTGTCTCTGTGCCCGAGAAAGTCAGAGATCCATTCTTGCTTCCTGTCCAGCAGATGGCACTTACGCTTCAGTAATAACAAGAAATCTGACATCCCATTAGACACACCTAAATTTGTCAAAAACCTTTAGATTTATTATTTTAAATGCATTTTTGAGAATTAATAATTTTCTATTCAATAGGTTGCCAGAATTTCCTTTTAGCTCCAAAGTTAAAAAAAGCCTTGTGCTATCTGATCAGTAGCTGCTTCTGTTTTCAGTAAAGCCCTCTGTTAAATGGCGAAGAAAAAACACTCTGTCAAAACACAAAGGTAAATTCCATCAGCATTATGTTAACCATAATGCTATGCTATTTGTGAGAATATTTGTTCTAGTGCCTTGAAATCGCATCAGTAAAGCAATATCTGGCAATTATCTGACTCAATCATGTCAGACTCAAACAAAATTAGATGATCACACAACTGTGTTTAGTATAATAACTGAAAACCTTCCGAGGGAAGAAAACTATCTCTGTTAGAATGTTTTTCAGGAGCTAAACAAATTACTGCCAGCAGTGAATTTGATTGTGTAACCAGAACTTATTACTTCTTCACTACACTATCTCTCATTACCATTAAGATGTGTTTTTTGCTGTTGCTGACGTAATTAAATTCTCCCTCTTTCCATTTTCAGATCTTACTGTTGTAAATCTATGTAACTTAATTCTAAAAGTGGGTAATTTCCATGAAAGAGCATACCCTGTGCTATTTGTATTTACAGAGCTGAGACTTTATTCTCAACTGGATTTGAAATAACTGAAATGTGATCTGTATATACAATAATACCTAACTCTTATGCAAATATAAAAAGCAGACCTTGGGTTTACATTAAAATTGCTATGCCCATTTCATGGACTTACATACTTAAACGTTAATTCCATGTTAATTATTTTTTATACACTTTTCCTTCTGGATTGGCTCCTTTTCTGCTTTCATGGCACTGCTGCACTTGGCTTCCTATATTTGTGGATTGTTTTGTTTTGGTTTTTTTGTGTGCTTGCTTTTGTTTTTTCCAAACTTAACATCCTAAATCCAGGCAATCTGAAACAAAACTGGATTTACTTTTACAAATCAAAACCTCCAAAAATGTTTTGCAAACAATTCTTCAAACACAAAAACTTTGCATGCTACTTCGTACATCAAAGCATTGGCTGTTACAATGGTAAGTAGGATCAAGAATTCAGAGTCATTTAACTCCCTCTACTACTTTTTAGTTTCTGAAGATAAACCTACTGGTAAAATTCATTGCACTGCTCTTGTTCTCGGAGGACAGAGAACCTCATTACGAGTTAGACTGGGCCATCCTTAGCCAGGGGTGTTCTTCGTACAAACAGGTCTATTAACCTCATTGAATGTATCTAATCTTGACAAAAGGCCATTCACTCACACTGCCCTGAGCAAAACAACTTCCATCATTGCTATCTGTGGAGAGTCGGTGTGATGTGTGGCTATACTTGCTGAGAGTATTACTTTGAAACATATTCTTCTATTTTTTTCCACACTGGTAATTTCCCTTTCCTGGGAATCTTAGTAAAGCTGACAGCTCATTGGTTGGCTTTCTTTTTATCCCTTGTTGGCTCCATTATTTATACAAATGACTGGGTTGCAGATGAAAGATTTTTTATTCATTCTATTTACTGTGACTAGTCCCAAAACAAAAGTTTATTCTTTGATGATGTTCTCCATGTGGTCCTGCACTGATCACCTCTCTCTAGCAGCTACATGATCTAATTCACGTGAGCACTTCAGAGACTTTCAGATAGAGAAGTGCCACCAGTCCTACTGTACAGGTGAGAAGCAAAGAATGAAGAAGGGTATGTGTTAACGGAGAAGTCCCTCCTACCTCCTAGCCACCCTAGACAGGAACATTGCAAATCAGGATTTCTGCAGATCACAAATGAAAGGCAGAACACAGAATTTAACTCAATTCCTCAAATTCTATTCTGCTGTAATCTGTAATGCTATTCCTTGAGAAGGAAGAGCAGGAGACCAGATAACTGAAAATGTATAGAGAAGAAATGTCAGTGAGACTAACTTGTTGACCAGGTCTGAATTTGACTAAATACTTTGAAAGAATGAACATATTTATTGTTTTAAAAACAAAATAGTAAGTGTGATTGTATGGTAAATGAATGGGAGCTAATAATGCACTCTGCAGTAAATAAAGGACAGTAAAATTAGGCCATAACAGAAAATAAATAGATAGGAGAGAGTCACATTATCCCATTTTTAGGCTGAAATATGTTATTACACACTTAATAAGCATTATTGTTGTTGTGTTCAGGGCATCACAGAACACATGAGATGACATTTCTTGGCTCCGTTGGCTTCTTGACTGTTTAACTGGAACAGTTAAAATAGTTTTTTCTTTTAGAAAGATTCTTGCATATCTAGATTATCTTGTAACTACCACTCAGTTACATGATTATTTAAATAAGCAATCCACTGACTACAAAGAGATTTTTCATATGGATAGGGATCTTAATATTGGATCCTGAAAATATGGAAAGAGATTACAGCACACCTGGCACAAAAGCTTTCAGTTAAAAAAGGACAGCTTCGTTATATTCCTCCTTAAGCACGCTAGCTCAAAATCTATTAAGGGATGCGTTAGCAGAGATTCTTCAGCTTACCTGGAATCCCCCACTGACTGGGAACGCCAGTGTTCCTCCTCTTCCTACATTATAGGATGCAGGCCATGAATATACTAATTATATCTAAGAATGGTAAAAATACATCTACATTCATATAAACATGGTCTCAAGGAACCTGAATGAATGTTCAACATACCAGGATGCCCACTGAGTGCCAATTTTCTCATCAGAATAATGAAAAAACTTTTAAGTATAAATGATCATTGCTATCGAAGTAATTTTGGGAAGAATGCTTACTATGATTGAGTTAAAAATGGGGAAAAAAAAAAAAAGCATCAGAATACATTTACAGTGCACCAGGCACTGGGAAAAGCAGAGCAGACATGGTTTATGTATTCAGGACAACTTTGCAGAAGTGTTTGCACTACTAGTAGGGCTAAATTAATAACGACCAAAGAGCCTCACTGTTAGCATTGTTATAAATGGAGGGGTTTTATAAGCACTGTAAATTATACTTAGATTGTACTTCCAATGCATAAATAGTGCCAGGCAACAGCAGATTTCCATCATCAGTCACTGAGGGTAATAATAATTCCTTATCAAATATTTAGTTTAACGCATTTTAAACACCATGCTATCATGGGCATTTTTAAATGCCTATTTTTGGGGGCATTTTATTCTTTTCTTACAATGACTACAGGCAAAGTTTAAGGAGCTGGGTGGGAGAAAAAGAAAAAAAAACAACCTCACAAAAAAACCCAACTAACCCCCTCACCCCAGTATTTCTTTCCTACGAATCCCCACTTTAGCTTTCAAACATATTCTTTTCAACTATAGCTCTTTAGTTTTTGAAAACTAAATGCATCCAGATCTGCATGACATCCCTTTTAATTCTCCATAGTGGCAGAGGTAGGAAGACTACAATGGAGGAAGTCCAGACTTCAATTTATTTATATATTTTTTTAAATTATTACACTCCAGCCTTCTAAGCATTGTTAAAAAATACAGCAAGAAAAATATGCTGTAGAAGATGGTGGGAAAGTCCTTCTTCTCCCAGACATGCTAACATGGACACAATTATAGGGGTTAAATAACTACCATGGTCATTACTTTTTAATGCCACTATAGTGTTCAAATAGCTGTGTGAAAATACAACTCTACTTACCCCTGAGAATTGACAGTTTCACTTGCTTTCTGGAGCAACTGTGACAAAACAGTGAAAAGTTTTAACCGCATCTGGGGATCTTTGTTCGGCTGAAGACATGTCTTAAGAATGAGAATGAAGTTATTCAGAGCTTCACCTATGACAGGACCTAGAAAATAAACACATAAGACTTATTTCAGAGTACTAGTAAGTTCTATTTAGATGTTTAGTATGCAAGTGCATTAAAATTTGTAATATGCCTGGTATTAAAATAGTACTTAACTTTCCACTTTTGCATGGAAGCTGTGGATGTATCCATGTTACACCGTATTAGGCAGTGCACAAATACCCGAACTAGCTCTCCGTGGCTCAGGTACCCACAGCCTTAGCCACGGCAGCATGGTGCTCCCTGAAGATTGGTTTACTCACATGTCATTTATCCAGCTTGGTACTGCTGTACTACATTGCATTATGTAGCATAGACATATCAAGGACAGCCGCTATTTGCTAGGACCAGCAGTACAAGATGACATTTTGGGTGGATTAATGCATTTGGGGGGGTGATTAATGCTCTTCACTATGTAGCTCTGAAAGCTCGAGGCTATGCACAAAGTTCTGGTTATATTGAACTTAACAAAAAATTATATTGAATCTGGTATGACCATGACACCACTCCAAACAGCAGCATTAACTATGCTTTTTTGTTCTTTCAAGTTTTTCCACGTGCAGCATTCAAGGAAAGGTGTTCATGATTCCCAAAAGCACAGGAAAGGGAATGTTGGAAAGGGTCAGCCTCAGAACTTGGATAATAGAATTATTGCAGCAGTATTCTTTCTCCATGTTTAAATAATGCTTATTTGCATTTTACAAGAGAATCTGAAGTATGATGAATTTTAGAAGCTATTTGAAATAAAAATATTTTCCAAATTCATTCTCTAGTTTGGTAACATTTTCACACCCTATGATGAATTCTGTTTTCACCACTAAACAATAAACAAACCAAAAAAACCCCACTAAGCCATTAACCCAACATTTAAAGAAATTATTTTCCCAAAAGAAAAGGAAGTTTGTGCCCTTCTCGATGATTAACATCTGCATGGTTTTAAAGAGGAAGAACACATATAGACTACACACATGCTTTATTCTGTGAGCTTCTTGCTGTAGAATGCTTTCTGCTCTATGTTTGCAAGCAACTACTTTCCTCTAGGAACTTCTTCAGCTTTGCATCCTTGTGATGCACATTGCATTCAACCCCAGTCACTCGGAAAATTCTCCCAGGAGACACAACACTGACATTTCTGACAACAAGAATATTCCTCACACAGGGAAGGGACAGATTGAAGTATTCAAGATACCAAAACAAGTTCAATAGCATTGAACTAACAATAACTGGAAATTTAATGTTTAAAATAATAATAGAAAAACCCCAAAAATTCACTGTCTAGACTGATGCAATACAGGATGTTGAACTGCAGTGTGCTAAATTTCTGTGCCAACAAATATCTCTTTGTTTTCACGGCATTTGTTCAAAATACATTGCTTTCATGTGAATTCCGAGGCACCTAAAAGATACTACTATTATATCAAACTGATAACAGAAAATTCAACAGATGTAAAATAAACAAAATAAACGACATTGCTAATTTCAGCTTAAGCATAAGTTCCTTAAAAAGAGTAAAAACTGAGAAATTTGAAATGAGCAAACCTGATTAAATTGATTAAAACCAACATCATGTGTTGGAATGAAAGGAAAGAAAAAAAAATTGCTCTAGGAGCTGCTGTGTCAGACTAAAAATACAGATAATAGCATATTACCAGTGCTGGGTGCAAGCCAAAATGTTCGCCCAGACATTTGATGATTTATTTAGCATTAAGGAAAACAGAGACAACTGTCTAGAAGTCCCTCAGTCATGGAAATGTGAGCACAAATATACAGAAAAGTTGGCCTCTCAGATCTTGCACTGAAAAAACTTTTTTGCTCTTTCCACAGATGAAAAAAAGAAAAAGTAGTTATGCTGGTTGCTGCACAAACCAGCAAGTGAGTGTTTCACATAGGTTTCTTAAGGCTTTTTTTGAGATTCACGGGTTAAATGCAGAAGATACGGTCCCTTAAAACATACCTGTCCACAGTTAACTATCTGCAGTAGCAATAATAACACTCCACCCACAGCTGAAGTAGCTGTTTACATGCCCTTTTTCACTAACAGAAAGGAAAAAACAAATAAACAGGACTTTCCATTTTAGGAATCTTAAAATGGGTGTCTAGGTGAAAAGAACTGCCTGTCACTGCGTCCCCTGTAGATGCAATCTGGAGAACTGTGTCAGAGCAATGTTCACTGTGCAGATCTGAACTTAGGTGAAATGTATGCCAAAGTGTTTCACTAATCTATATACAGTAATGTGTTGACGAACGGAAGTGAGGAAATGTTTGTACAGAGTGCTAGTGAATAGATGGAAAAAAACAGATAAAGTTTTGGACACATAAGCTACATCAGTTCATCTCCTCATAATTCTTACTTGTTCCATTTACCTGAAAGTGTACTTTTACATAAGTGCTTTTAGTATGCTCCTTGCAGCCAAGGAGTCTTTTGGAATTTGACCTGCTTCAACATTTTTAGTTTTGCTTTCCATCACATTCTTGTGAAGTTTCTGAATATTACACCATTCATTATGAAACACAATGTATCTGCTGGCTAGGGAGATTGTTACTTTATTTTTTTAGAACTGGGTGAGCTAGCACACTACTAAATAAGTCATACCTGAATGAGTTGCGATGACATCCAACTGTAATATTTCTGGAGAATAGCAAGTCCAACAATCATGTGATACTGAAACCCATTCCATAAGCTGAATTATATGCCGTTTGTAGAGATAAAGAAAACTATCCAATTGCTGCACTTCAGCTAATGAAGACATTGTTTCCTCTACCTGTTAAAACAGAGACAGGATACTTTATCTGAACTGAAACAATATTTAAAAAAAAAAAGAAAAAAATCCACTTTAAAAACTGATGATTATACTTGAAGAATAGCAGGGACAGAAGAATATTTCCAGTGTCTACTTGGACAATCAAGATTGAAATTTAATGTCTGCCTATACTACATCCATTAACTTTAAATCAAGGTGAAACAATTGCCCTGATTTAAAAATGAAATCATAAGGAACACAGTAACATAATAGCAAATCCATGTGAAAACCTATCCAAAAAACCAACCACATTATAAAAAAGGTCTTACTAGTTTTAAAGATGCAGTGATTTTTCTCCTTACTTTAAGAATCTTTAAAACATTAACACAGAGGGAATTTCTCACAATCCCATCTAGCAGGCTATGGCAGCTTCCAAAGCCTATTGCTGTTGCAGCTCAGAGAAGACATGGTATTTCCCCTCTCCCCCTTCTTCTTTTTGGCCAATTTTCATTATGCAAGATGCTCTCTCTTTACAGTAGCCGGGCAGGTTCTTTTTTAAATTCTCAACTTCTGTTGCTTAGGAGAAGTAACAAAATTCACTGTTACATTTGAAATACTTTCTTCATCTTTACATTTAGACTATTACATGAGACAGGCAAATAAAACGTACAAAGAACTACTAATAAATTCCAGACATGATCATGCTTGGCAAGGAAGCATATAGATTTTTTTTAAATCGCTTGTAGCAGATGTATTTCAAAGCAAAGGAAAACTTGCTTTCACAGTGCCTGAAGACTCCTACCAGAAGTACAAAACTTCTCTAAGGAACAGATTAAAAGCATGCTGAAAGCAGCATCTAAAGTCTTAGTGATTTCAGTGGACAGTGAATCAAGAATGAAGAGCAAGACACCGTTAGAAACCCCACTGACAAATAACATATGTCATCAGCATGGCCAGTTCTAGCAGGGAATGATGTAGTGCAGCGCTATGAGTGACATCATTTGACTCTAAGTAGTTCTTAGAGTCAAATACAAATTGTAGTCGTATTTTTTATATTTTTAAACTGAACTAAACTGGACAAGTTAGCTGAAACATATCTAGGACCTTTAGAATTTTACAGACTAATCACTTGCCAGACAAAGATGTTATTATGGAAGTACCAGATGGGAGAAAATAAATTAGATTTCGGGGGGGATGGGGAGCAGGGGAATAAATCAGGATTTGCTAAGGACAAAGGTTACTCATAAAGGAGGTTTCCCTGCCTCAAGCACAACAGATTTCTCCTTTCTGGAAGCATTCTGCCAGCCAGCCAAAACAACTCAGAATACCTTATACATAAAATATTTATTTATCTGTAAATTAATTGGAACATTTTACATGACAGGATATGTCAAGACAGAAACTGTTCCCCATTATTAATCCCACCACAATCTGCAAGACGTTTTTTCCATTGAACAAGAGAGATACAAAATAATACTTTGTTTATAGGTTAAACTCTTTAAGCGGTTTTGAGTGTGATTAAAAAAAAGAGAGAATAAATTAAACATGCTGATACACCAACGCATATCTTCTAATTAAGAAGTGTCTCACAGTTAAAAAGAAAAAAACAACCCCAAACCAAACAAACAGCAAGGGTGATTTTCTTTCCTATATTTTAAAGCTCACAAGTTCAATGATACCTTATTTTCATGCTAATAATCAACATTTGCCAAAAGAAGAGCCAAGAAGCCAAGACAGCACAAGGCCACTGATAATGAAGCAAAATCTCATCTCTAGGTCACCAGTTAAACCACTGACAAGCTCAGTACATGCTTAACAGACTTTAACAACTGATACGGTTTCAGCCTGTTTGGGGCTGTAAACCATATTCCTCATCACGATACCACGGTGCTCAGTTGGTGGTCTTGATCTTTCTCCTTAGCCCCAAGCAACCAGAAACACTGATGAACACAAAGCAACGGGGCCAAAAATCAAGCAAGTTGGAGTAGCAGCAACACCCACAATCAGATCACATCACTTGTGGTCTCTGGTATCTCTGTGATCTTCTGTCCTCTTACAGTAAAGCCTGAATTGAAGTTCTATAATGCAAAGTTTTGAATAATTTATGTTTATACTCAAAATCTTTTGGTCCTTAATACAGACTTCTCTTCCGAGCAACAAATTTATACTTTTAAAGCTAGATGTAATACATATGTTTTGTATGGTCTTAAGCTATTTTAACAGGGACTTCTTGCCTTCTGTAAGTTGTACAGCTCACTTTGAAGTTTCAGAATAGTCAGTAACTGGGGGGGGGAAGGAGGGGGGAATAATTAAAAAAAATAATCAAGCCATAGTTGTCTTTGTGACAAATTTGAAATACTGAAGTTATATAATCTTGTTGCCAGATTTTCTATCTGCCTAGCTGAAAGAAAGGCTAATGAGAAAAAGGATTCTCTTCCAAAGTACTGTCAACTTTAAAAATAATCTGTAACTGCAGGAACATCTTAAACCTTTAATAATCTTGGGAGATTAACTTTTCTGTATACGAAAATCAGGATTTATTTCCAGGAAACTGCTTTCTTTGTAGGAGTATGAATTTTTAAGGTTTTAAATGGACATTGCTGACTTTATAGACCACTGTAAGGCTAAACAGAGAAGATACTGCAAAATATACCAGGTCCATCTGTCCAAGGCTTACTTGGACAGATTTGTTTGTTTAAAAAAAACCAAAACACGAAAACACAAAACAACCCCCCAAAAATCCCACTCTCCCACTGGCTCTCCATGACACAGATCTTCATGCTGTACCTCTTTGACCTGCAAAGTCTTTTCAATATTTGTTTCAACCTTTGTTCTATTTTACTTCCTTCAGAATAGTTTTCTAAGTGTTTGCCTTCTTGGAGGCAGCCTGTCAGCTATGGGGCCATAAATACTGATGCTACGCAGGCCTTTGGAATACCATGCCTGGGAGCAAGAGAAAAGGAAGTAGAATAGCCATCACATTTAAGGCGCACATTTGAAAAAAGACAAGTTGGATAGGTCACAACTGTACTACATAAGGATGGCTTGCTGATTTATTTGATACTTAGCTTAGGGAAGAAAGAGGAAGAAAGAAATAAGGGGGTGAGATAATGCTCAGCCAAAAAAGCTCATCTATTATTAGGGCATCTACAGATGTCCTTGATTTTAAAGCATTCCTGCAACATTTAAACTTTTGGTTCTGGTGGGGAGGTAAAAAGGTCAACTACTGTAAAATCAGTCTGATCTTTTCCTGAAGATAAAAAAAATGATTATGAAACTATCACTTTTTTAAGGTTAGCAGTGCTCTTGATCTGAATTGTTTTTTAATAGTCAGAAAACAAATTAGAGTTTTTTTCCTGGCCACTTGTATGCTCCTGTGTATAAACTAACATTAACAATAATCCAGTGACTTATATCCACCTAAAAAGTAAGCATCAACAGTTCAACCAGCACCAATAGCATGCCCAAGGCTTTGCAGAATCCAGCAATGAGCATAAACACTTGAACACCTCCTGTCACAAAACTTTACCTAAGCCATGGCCCAGTGATTAATACCCACTCAAGTAAAGTATTCTTCTAGGCCAACAGCAGCCCTCATCCAACTGTGAGCTTCCCATGCTCCAGTAAATGTACTTCAAGCCATTTATTCTGAGACCTCATCTAAGCACACTAAAAAAAAAATAAAAAAAAAAATCTAGTTGCAACTTTAGCCTACAGATTCATATTGGGTGTTTTGGGCTGCAAAATAAAACTGAATTCTAGGGCCCTTCTCAGAACCAGCACATATTCTAACTCTATGGGCCTTCAACCAAACTTACAAAGAAATTTAATTCTCCGGGGTTTGCTGTCCCAAATTATAAACCCAACTCCAAACTTAATTCTGGTATTAATCTTATACAGTATGTACAGTGAGACACACACAACCTTGGACTAGCCACGAGCCATTACTCCCCACTGGTACAGCCCACAGCCACTGAACAAGCCTTACAAGATGTAGCAGTAAAGCTAACTCCCGAGTAATGTGCTTTCCTGTTACGTCAGCTAAACACAGGTATTAACCAGATTTCTGCAGACCACTTGTGTAGGAGCTAATATTTGCCTTACAAACATTCTAGTCTTACAGTGTTTGCAAGATGCAACAGTACATTCAGCTCTCTGGCACCACTGTTGCCCTAGACTTAAACTTCAACTTTAGGCCCTAAACCCAGCACTACTCTGTCTTCCAGTTCCATAAAAGAAATAACCTACCAGACCCCAGTCTCTGTTGCTGCTAATCTTAATTGAAGCCCTGTGGATTTGCGGGATTCAACATTAAAGCGAGATCTTCAAACTGTTGTCTGGAAATACATGTAGCACCTAACAACTATGAACTGTTTGATCTGGAAAAGCAGAAATATCAATATTTTGACTGACAAATTATAATATTCATAGACCTTTCAGCCTTCACAGTGACTTCTGAATATTAACTAACCACCAGAACAATGTCCTACGGGTAGATCTTTGCAGAACAGTTTTGTGACTAAATATGTAATCCAAGTATTCCCTCATGCTTCTTTCATTCTAACAGACTGAATCTGATGAATTTGAAGTTACATGTATATCTAAACGTGTAACTTTTATTTCTATATAATTTTTGAAACAGATTGCTATACACACTAACAGACAAAAAATAAGTAATTCCCAAACAAAACTAGTAGTATTGTATAAGTTCTTAGCTCTTACAAATCAGGTTTTAATGATTTATTCTTCTGGAGAAGTTGCCTTTATCTGTTCTAAACAGACTAGACCCAAAGTAATTTAAGCTATGGAAAAAGATGAGGAGACAGACACAGGGTACAGTCAAGGTCATGCAACACCAAATCATTTCAAGCTCTACCAGTCTTTGTGGACAAGCTCTTAGTAAGGATTTCTGTGGTTTAAACCTAACAGCAAGGCAAATATAATTTTGGCGCTGTTTAGATGAAGTGCCTTATCGATAGTAAGAATCAGAAACACAACAAAATATTAAACCAGCTGATAGTTTACCTTTTCTTTAAGGTGCTGAGAACACGGTATCGCCATTATTGTCACCAAAACTTTCATTAGCTGCAAGCTAATTTCTTTGCAGTCTTCCTGACATACTTCAATCAATGCTTGTACACAACAAAGCAACTGCTCCATATAAAAGACCTGTTTTTTAATAGAAGCATAAATTTATTATGTTTTGTTAGAAAATATAACATTCTCTGTAAGTGACAGATATGGAAAATGACAATAAAAAAAATCTGAGAACTGTATAATCCCCTAAATTGGTAACATACTGATAATTTCATGTGAGTTCTTTTGATTACTTACATTCTACTTTTTACAGAATACAACTTAATCTTCCTCCCACACTGTTCATTTGTATTTACTTTGTGCTGTTAACAAAATAAATGACCCTGCTCTTAATCACACAATTGCTCCACTGTGAATAAAACCATCAAAGCATTTTGGAATGCTTACCAATAGTACTTCCTCATTCTGAAGTGCAATTTGTTAATTAATAACATATTTGTTACAACTCTTTCAACTACTATTCCATGTTTGACTATTATTTCCATGTTTGAATAGAACAATAACTGTTAAATACATAAACCAAGAAAACCTGACCGTCTGCTTTTTTCTCAGCTAATTTATCTCGTTTGATGCAATATAATGCATGTTATCTTGATCCAACTAATACCAGTGGAAATCAACATTGTTGTCAGTTAGTTTACAGTAACTTCCATGATAAAGTGCATCAGATATTCCATGAAGCTGTCAGAACAGAAGGGGCCATTGTTACAAATTTACTTCCAAAAAATAAATCAAGTCTAGGGATAGGTTGGCTATAAATGTTATTACTCTCATGGACATGGTCAATCCTTAGCTAAACAGTGTCTATGCAGCATTCACTGTCTAAAATAGAGAAATATTGTTTTCCAAGACCAAAGGCTAGAACAATTCCACCAAACGCTTCAGCTGCAGATGAATGTGTCTACTGTATCTAATGCCAAATGGAAGTGGTAAGCTTAAGACCTCATAGCAATTTTGCAGATATACTTCAGGGAATTGTTATTTGAACAATCACGTTACAGTGCTTCCAGTTATACGAGTTCCTAATCATCACAGGCTTCATGGAGATTAAGGTTATTTCCTGCATCACTGGTACATATTCCATTAGGGAAGAAACCTAATGAGGGAAGAACTTCAAACATATATCTTACACTGGCTCAAAAAGACAATTACACTAGATTCAGTCTACACACATGAATAACTTTTATAAAGAGAAGTCTGCACCTGACATGAAGTCAGAGTTTTCTGAAGGCACAGCACTGGCCCTTTTTTGGTTATCTTAAGAGCAGAGGCCTAATAAACTTTTGTTTATTATTCTGTTTTTATTCTGTTGGAATGAAAGATGGGATTTCATTTGTGAGGGAAATTGTAGGGATTCTTCTTGTGCATCTCTAACAAATCTATTTCCACATCTGAGCAACTGAAGGAAAAAAAAAATCCTGAAAGTTAACAATCTCCATTCCACATTGAAGAGAATCTCTTACCTCCTTATATAGCAATTGATGAATTTTCTTCAAATGCTAAAATGAAAATGGTCTTCAGGCTCAGCCATTAGTTAAGGGTACACTTAAGAGTAAATTTCTAATTCATAAAGTTCTTCCTCCTAGATTCTCACTTAAAGAAAAGCAATCAAGCCCAACAGTTTACAAAGCATGCTTCTAAATGTACACATAGGTGTACTGATACCTTCCTTTTAAAATGGAAAATAGTAATAATACAAAACAAAAATAGGGATGATATTAAGAGGGAATCTTTCTTGCAAAACCTGACATATCGATTACAACGAACTGTGAAAAATTTTCAGGCATTTTTACTAATGAGGACTGAAATGTATGATCTTGTTTGGATTGTGAACACAAGGCATTTCACATGGGTTAAATTCTGCCCCTGGATCAAGCCAAGGTAGTCCTCTATTAGTACAGTATATACTAACAGCTTCTTCTCTCCCTGTCATGCCTTTTCATTTTCCTCCCATTATCTGAAGCCTTTTACAGCAGTTCTCAAACTTCAACCCACATCTGCTGGGAGGATGGACTGCCAGCAAGGTTTTGTGAATAGCAGATTTGACCGGGAGACCACAACATGGCCCAGGGAGGACAGGGAAGCTCCTGTTTTGTTTCAGACACACATCCACAACTACATCCCGAGAGAGGGTGGGGTAGGTGTGCAAGGAAGGGATAGGAATGAGAGCATTTAGGGAGATCAAGGGGAAAAAAGTTGAGAGAACCACCAGTCTAAAACCTTGGTCTGTTGTGTATTTTCCAGTTAGCCTTACCTCTTCAGATCGTTGACAAACTCCAGCTTGTGACAGTGTGTTTCCAAGATCAGTCAAATGAGGCTGTAAGATTTCTTTTGGGCTACCCTGAATCACTGCAGTTAGAACCATTACACAAGACGGCTTAGGTGTCTTCCCAAAGGCCGATGTGATTAATCTCAATGACACCTTAGGGCTGACAAACATTCCAATCAATTCTGCTGCTTTCACACACTGAAAAAAGAACAGGAATAACTTGAGGATTTTCCCGAAAACACAAAGACCATTCAACATATCATGGGCTTTATCTTTTTATGATTGCAGCTGTTATTTTAAATGCTTCAGCAGTTGCCTTGTAGGCCTTTTCACTTGCTCAGTAATGATTATATGCATGAAGACACTTTCTTGACATGTGTTCAGTAAGCACATAAGGCACGCAAGCACTCTTCTCAGCATCAGACAAACTTCCATGAGAAAGTAATGCACAGAAATGAAGTGTACAACTTTCAGTGTAATAAAGTCTCTATCTTAGAATAACCAGATGTTGCGGATTTAGTGGTTTAGCATTTTGTCCTCCAAACGCTGTTCTGAGGCATGCTCTCAATGCACCCACCACCCATCTATTAACAGCAACAACAATAAAACCCTGAAAGAGGAATTTTTTGTTATGGTACTATATTTTGATACTGACATTACAGATCTGGTTTAGTGTGGAAGCACTGCCACAGGGGAACTGCCCACTGCTTTTAATCTCTTCTTTAACTGAAAAGGCTTAAATTACTATGTATTCTACGTGATACTCGTGGTCTTTAATCCCGTCTCTGCCTTGCAGACATACTGGTATGTATTACACATGAAATACTGTTATACCAGAGCTTACTCTCTGACTGACACCCCATATTTACAATTGGGTGCATGAATAAAGATATAGTCAATGACTGCAGCATTACCTCTGCAACAGGAACATTTCTTCCTAACTCCTTTATTTAATAGTTGGCTCATTTCCCAAAACATGAAAGCTTATTTCCTTTCATACATAGTTTTTAGTCTTGTGATTTAGCCCTGGATATTTAATTGCAACTAATTAATATATGAATCATCCTAGTTTTCTAGTCTCAATGGAAGCAGCCATAAACTCTATAGTTTAAGTCTGCACTATTCTGGTATTTCTTTTCACAAGCATGAAACTCAGAACAGTTATAACATACTCTATGTAGATGTAAACACTATCCTCCTCCAAATTTGCCATAGAGAAAGGAAAAGACTCTTAGTGCTCTGAAAATTGGAAAAGGACAAACACAATTAAACAGTTCAAAAATATAAATTGATGCATTTGTATGGATCAGTTTATCTAGTCATTTTAAGGGGGGCCAGGATAAAAGCCCAACTCTTATACATCTCATCTGGTATTATTAGGCTAGAGAAAGACATGCACATTTTCCAAGCTGGTGGCTGCTCTGAAATGGGTTCTACAGTGACAAAGGATAGGAGATAACTGCAGCATCCTGAGAAGCAACATGACAAAGGAGATAGTAAGCATTCATAAATAAAGGTTGCTGAATCTTAAATTTTGGCACAGGGAAGAGTAAAATTAAATACAGAAACCAACTCCTAATTGGGAATCTCTTGGAAGCACCTGAGAGGAGATTAGTGGTGGAATTCTAGGAGACAAGTATGGTCAAAAAAAAGGAAAGGGAAAAAACTATGTGCTGCTTGAACACATACTTAAGAATTTATATTTATAGCAACAAGCACTAGATAGGAAATTTGACCAGGACAGCAGGGCCATGTGTTTAGTCTTCTAATTATTTTAAGTTTTCTTGTATAGTTTATACAAGTGCTAAGGAACTTGAAGAACTACATACCCACAGTGTCATATCTCCTACTTCAACCCTGGGGCATTGATTTCCCAATGCCTGTATGCCCATTTTTGAATCAACAAGATGACTTCTAACAGTATTCCAGGTTTATTTCTCTCTACTATTGATCAGTGCATGACTGGCTTATTTTACAAGCTCAACCTGCCTGAAAGGCAACATGATTAGAGATCAGATGTTTGTTCTGAAAGGGGAGGTGGAAGGGGTAGAATAGGTATATGGGGTAACAGAGTAAGAATTGAGGGAAAGGGAGGAACAATTCGGGAAAAATTAAGGGAGAGAGACAACAATTAGTACCGAGAAAGACTAAAGACAACAAGAAACTGGGGGGGGTGGGGGGGGGGGGTGGGGAAAGCAAAGCATCATTTTAGAAATGGATTTCCTCGTCTATACAGCTCAACTGACAGCACGAACCTAAAGAAAAGCCTGATTTAGGAAACCAGCTTTTCTGACACTTGTTGGACTACTTGTGTCAAGTGCACAGAATACATTCTTTCAATTTCCCAAAGCAATAATATTTTCAGCTTTAAAGTAAGTTACATGGGGCTTTTTTGGTCATACATATGTACTTTTGCTTGGGTAGAAATATGAACAGAAGAATTTCTCTTAATATTGTAAAAATGTTTGTATCACCTGTCTATCCTCTGCTAAATTTATTTAATGTGTTCAACTACATGTGTTTATTGATACTGTTGATCAAAGTTTTGACAGCATCAACGGTTAGGAAAAGGGATACTAGTTATTTCTCACGAAAAACATGAAAAAAAAAATATGGCTTTTTACAAGCATTAACTTAAGTATTTAAACATTGAATATGGGTATCACATGGAATAAACATACCTCAATGTTTGGTTGGAATTATGGTTAGATTATGCAGCAGGGGGAGATAAGCGAAATTAACTTGAAAGGGCATGACCTACACATTTTTTAAATGGAATTTGTTGCCCCAAGGCTTTTATACTATAATCCCCTGCTTATGATTTTTAAAGAGATCATTGTCAATGCTTCATCGGGTTGGCCTATCAACTGAACTTTATTACTGGTCTTCATACCAGTAATACAAGAATACATTTATTTTAACACAGTATGTATGTATAATGTTCACATGTTTTTAACATCCATAAAAATGTGAGCCTGATCCTTCAGTCATGGACAGTTTCCAGTGACCGTAAGGTCAACCCTCAGAAGACTGACGAGACTATAAAGGATAGGGTCTTTATTCGGTATACAGTAGATACTTTAAAAGATTAAACTTACATTTTTAACCACATCGCTTTCGTCATCCAAGCATGCTTGATACAAAGTTCTAAGCAGTAGCTCCATGTGTTGCGTTGTGTGATCCTCTGCATGTAGCAATAACGTATACAGCAGCTGGGATGCTTTTATTCTTGTACTTTCAACCCAGTCTGTTATATCATGACAGAGACCCGGAAGAATTTTGGAGAGGTTTCTTGACACAAGTTCCCGACAACCTAGTCCTGGTCGAGTCACTAGAAGAAAACAAACAAAAACAAAACAAAAAAAGGAAAAAGAAATATCAAAGGAAAAGCCAATGCACATTAATCCTTACAAAAGTTTAAAGGCTCCAAGATAAGAGCTATGGGTGTCTGCTTCAGCATGGAATAAAACATTCCAAACGCTGCTGAAGAATTTACCTGTGCAAGGTGCATTTCTTTAATACATATTGCAGATTTTAAACTCCACAAACCTCTCTGAAAATTTATGTATGTATTACTGGATGGTGATTTAGATTACATGTCTTAAAAATATTTACAGAAGGGGAAGAGAAAGAGAATTTAAATGAATATAGGACATCACCCACTTTGGAAAACAGAGCTTAATAATTTCCTTTTAATTTTTATACAACACAAATCCCATTAAAAAAATAAACTGAAACACACAGAGATGAAACAGAAGAACGACTTTTGCATGCAAATGTTGTGGTATCACTGAGCTAAATGTAATGTGGAGGGGGAAAGAAAGGTAGAAGTTACAAATAGTGCAGGGGAGATGAACTGCAGTAAAACAGACAATGTCAATTGTGCCCTTTAAAGGAAAAGATTAAAAGTGTACCTAGACAATTAAAAGTAGAAAGGCTACTACAATTTGTACAAGTGCTGTGTAATAGATCAGGCCAATAAAATTGATATTATTTTAAAAGTCACAGCTATTACACAATCTCTTTGCTCAGGCCTTTTCAGGAAAAGTGGCTCACTTTGATACGTCTCTTCAACCTCTGTCTGATTTTTAAAGCAAATAACAGATTTCAAAATGAAGTGAAGATTACACAGGAGTTGGGGGAAATCTTCCCCCTTTCCCCCAGATTAAGTTTAATTTGTAAAGATTTTGTGGCAAATAGGTTTTTGTTATTGTTATTTCTTGTTTTTAAACAAAACTCCAAAGTGTTAAAAATACATATTCCCTACCTCAATAAAGGATGCAGATTTCTAGAGGACTAATAAACTTAACTTCCCCAAGAAATACTTACTGTCCCATCTGGTAATCATCAATTTACATCACTGAGACTCAGAGTAGCAACTTGACCAACATCACAAACAATGACCAAGGCTCCACTTCTGTACTTTACACATAAAGCTATGACAGTATTTTCCAAAGAACTGCAATTAACTTTTTTAGTAACTTCTTTTATAGCATGATTTTTTTCCCTTTAGACTGTACATATTTATACACACAAAATCTGAAAAGTTGTTCTCTAAGAACCACCAATTTATTATTGCCACTCACAATGCTCGCATACTGATTTAAGAAAGAAACTTCACTCATTATGAGGTGTCAAAAAACACTGCATGTGCAAGCACATTTTTTATTTCTGGTACACAGTTCTCCTGTAAATGCTTAGAAAGGAAATGACTGAGTTGTCTCAGAATATTTTCCCACATTGGTCTGTGTAACTACAAATGTTATGAGGAAAATGGACTAAACTAAATGGCCTGAAGAATAGAAAAGGCTTATAGAAATGCCTATGAAATACCTAGAGTAGGGGAAAAAAAAAGAATTCAAGCATCAGGACATGAATTGCTGCTTCTTTTGTCAATGGAGGATAACATTTTGGATTATGAAAATAGACAATGAATAGCAAAAGGTCAAATAATGAAATCAACCTGAGACAGCAAATACAGCCTGGCATCCTATTTGACCCGAGGCAGAATTTTGTTTAAAGAATTTGGACCATTCTTTATCAGCAGTTCCTTCATTTCAGATGTTCAAACGCAGGCATTTATCCCTGTAGCTACTCCTGTCAAAGACTTCCCTGTTATAAACTGTCTGCACCTGTATCCTAAGGCAATGATTGCTCTCGCTCATTGGAAAGCTATTCAGTTGGTTGGATGACACCAGGCATGAGGTCCAACTCTATTCTTCCTCTGACCTGCAATATCTGTCATCATAAGATCAAAGCACAAGGAGGCTCATACGTTAGGTTCAGTAGCTTGACAGTTGGACAAAGATTGTTAAGTAAAATGTACTACAAACTCAGTTGTAAAAAGATATTCCAGCACATCAAATAAATAAAAAAAAATGCCAACAAGATGTTAAAATTCATCATCATATTAAAAAAATACAAATGTTTGTGGAGGGAAACAGTGGGGAAGGACACGCATAATAACAACTCATCCATATACAGTTGGTGGTAAGACACCACAAATTATTACATGAAACTAAGGTATACTAGTGTCTTTGATAAAGTTTCATATCTGTATGACTAAGTAACCAATCATCCTTTCCTCTCATTTTTCTTCTCTTTTGTCACATAAAGCCTGCCTGTTAATAAGACATACAATTTGGAACTAAAGACAAGCAGGAAATTTTATCTTAAGGTCACCACTAACTTGGGACTCAACTTGAAAATTATCAGGTAGGTCACTTCTTTAAAAAGTTCTTTAGTTATTTTTGTATGTATATACGTACATATGTCACATTCAAGCCTTAACTGCATCATGCTACCAAGCAAGGTACATGAAAAGTCAACTAAATGCAGGGATGGAATGTTGCCCAAATTCATGAAACATTTATTGTGCTAAGAATAATATTTTGGAAAGTAGGTGTCATTTAATTACGAAGTAACTGATAGATGTCCCTTTCTAATAAAAAAATCCACAGTGTACACACACACACACACAAAACCCAACGCACACCTAAAGAAAACTGAACAAGGTAACAGTATGGGCAATATACATGGTAATAACTGTTTCAAGGACTAGCATGTGAAGCCTTTTATGACCTTCACTACATCATGGTCATTGCAAAGTAAGTGACTGGAGTTTAGACACTAAAGTTCATCAGTTTATGTATGTTAAAAAAATTCTCTGTCATCACAAGTGGAAGTAAAAGCATTCTTTACCATTTACAAACGCCTAAGGTAATATTATACATAAAATAAGAAAGAAAAAAAAAATTGGAAAGGGTAACAGACAAACTTGGCCGCTTTCAAAGCTAAACAGTTCTGTCAAACTAGTCACCATTATGAAGTGCTTCCCCTGTCATTCAAGCATTAATGACTAAAACAACTTTAAAGGGGGAAAAAAAAGTGTAATTTCAAAGAAGAAAAGACTCCGGAACCCACTGTCATGGAAAGGATTTTGCTGCTGGGTATTCTGTGATTTGATTGTCAGGTAGGCACAAGTCAAGCATGAACCTGTTCTTTCACACCAAAAGAGTTTTTGTTCTGTTAAATATGAGTATAGAAATCAATAAATGACCCATTTAAACCCTCTCTCTCACCAACACCCATACGCATATTTTTAAACATTAACTTTATGAACCTGAGACAGGAAACAAGCTTCAAGCTACTACAAACTTCTCATTTTAAAGCTGCCTATAAATCATACGGTACTGAAAAGTAAAGTAATCTACCCATGCGGCATATTTTGGGGTTTTGTGTATAATAAAGGAAGTTATTGTTTCTGTTCCCGTGTGTGCTGGCAGATTTTAGTTAGCATCCCAAGAAGTTTGAAATCACTTCACTGCAAATTTTTCCTGCATGCCAATTCTGTGGATCATTAATGCTGTTCTAGGTCTCATTATTCAAGGACTCAGCTCACAGGTTCTTTCATCCTGCCTTCCTTTGCAGTCATCTCTATGCCCATTCTCCACCTGGCTGCTGACTCATGTAGAACTTTCTGCTGCTTCTGCGTCACTACTTTAGCTTTTTTTAAGTGTAGGCATTTTCATTTACCCTTTCTCCAAAATGCATTTTGGGACTAATGGAAAAAGTGAATGTAGTTACTGAACAAATGTTTCTAAAAAATTAAATGCAATATAGACAATTTTATATACATATATGCTATATATTTTTACATATATATATATGCTACCACTATACATTAACTAATATTACATCTTGCAATGAATATTACATGTCCTGCTCTGCTGTCATTACGGCACTGCAGCTCTCAGGGATTACTTAAGAAGTAAAACCCACTTTCAGTGCAACACTTACCTCCTTTGGGATAATGAGATGGTAAAACACTAAAATCCATCTTATCCTTCAGATCTTCTTCATTCTCTTTCTCCCACTGCAAGCCTATCTTTTCCCAATAAGTCCAAGCCAGTTTCCTAGACATAAAATAAAAGTTTTATACCATCATGCCCCCAAAAGGAAAACATTCTAAAATGAAAATTCTGGAAAATCTGACTTCTTAAATTCAGCTGCAAGGATGGGCAGCAT